CATCCTTTCCCGCGGGGGTGGGGGAGAGGTTTGGGTGCCGCTGGGTACCGCCCCGGGTCCCAGCTGGGGCGAACCAAGCGATTTCTCAAGACGGAATCGTAATTAGGAGGCTGGCGGGGTTATTGATTCACCTACTCTCCCGCCTGCTCGTCTATTCCTATTTTTCTTAATTTTATGTTTCGCCAAGGGTTCGACTCTCCCTCCTTCCAACAAATCTGGTCGTGAGAACTTTTGGAAGCAAGTTACTTCCCTCTATACATGAACCGCTGGAACAGGAGGAGATTTGCCAAAAAAAAAAAAAAGTAAAAATATATATATTTATAGAAATATACATATTTAAAATACATCTATTTCAACCACCCTTCTGTGTATCGACGGTTCTATGTGCAGATGGGAAAAATTAAAATTAAAAAAAAAAAAACACAACCCTACGCACACTCAGGTGTGACACCAAATCTGCGCGCAGCCCTACGCGCGTACAGAGACATCAGCGGACACACCTGACAAATCCTTGGAACCGCTCGGATACACACTGAAGACAGGGGCTTTTCGAAATATTTTCCATTACTGCAAGGCAGGGACTTAAAACGCCGATGTTATTTTAGTTCTAGCTTTCCAAATATTTAAAAATAAAGCAGATGAAAACCTATCCCTGGGACTTAAAACACGCATAAACACACGAAAAAAAAAATAACAACCCACCCCACACACCTCTAAAAATACTGCACCTCTTCTCCGAGGCTCGGGCTCTTATCTCTGCCATAGGGCATCTGGGCTGGGGGTTAATTCAGCTGTAAAAAGCTGGAGGGAGGGGAAGGGAGGGGGGGAGCTACCAACGAAGAAAGCGGAGATTATCTTCAACGTTTTAAGGGAGAAGAAACCAAATTCCACCTGAAGAATGATCTGTAACTCCATCGAAAACACCTGACCAGCAAGAACACGGGTTACTCCAACAATAAACTCGGGGAATTATAGAAATCGGGAAACCTATCCCCTATCTCGCCGAAAGCCCCTGCACTGTAAATGTCTATTTTATTGCTCTCCAGATGAGCTTTCTGTCCACTGCGATATTTGTTTGAAATTTCAGCAAGGTGGTTTATGTCTCCCTCCGTGAGCTTTTTTTTTTTTTCTCTCCCCTTTTCTTTTCTTTTTTTTTTTTTTTCCCCCACGGGAAACTGGGGATTTTTCGGGAGGTCCCTCGGCTTCCCCAGCCCGTGTCCCGGCGGCGGGGGGCGGCAGGACCTTCCCCCCTGCATCCCCCCCGCCCCACACACACACACTTTCTTCGTACCACCTCCCCTCGGACACAAGACCCTTCTTTAAAACCGATTTTTATTTTTTTTTCCCAGCGGCAGAGAAGCTCCAGGCGAAAGCGAGCCGGGAGACAGATCTATTCGCTAAAACTTTCTAAAACCAGCTCGATATTTATTTCTTTTTTTTTCCTCCCTCTTCAGGCAAATTTTGGAAGCCCACAACAAATGCCAGATGAGCGAGCAAAATGGAAGTTTGACTCCGCGTTGTTTATTGTGCCCTTGCAATTTAAAACTACTCTTATTTCTACGCGTGGAGGGGTGGTTTGTTTCTTTTTTCCTCCCCTCTTCCTCCGAGGATTTTCATTTAAAATCACAACGAAAAGAGCCTCTCTCGGGCTGCCCCCAGTTTGCTGACGGGACTGGAAAGACTATTTTCCTGGGTCTCGCTGGCTTAGGCACTCCTCAATTTAACAGTTCTCTAACATAGGAATATTAAAGACAATGCCAAATCGCCTCAAATATATACACGTCCGCGCATAAATATCTATGGATCAGGTTTATTAAGCCGCTCATGGATTCGATTACGCGCAGCCCCAATAAAGCTGGATTTTGCGAGGTTGTATATTTTTCCACACACCCACGCAGACAAAACACACGCGTACAGAGACGCGTATCTGGAGGCAGTTAGACCCGCACGCTGTTTATTTGCGGGTACATCTATCTCTGCATCTAAACAGCTTCGCTGTGAGTATGGAACCAGTAGCTTAATACTTTTAAATGGGGTGGCGTAGGCGTTGGGGATAGATTCGCCCCAACGTGCTCAAAATAAATAGGAAACTTTATAGGAAAAAAAAAAAAAAAAAAGCGTGAGGCATTGCAAAATCGCAGAAGGGCCGAGCTGCTCCTTTAATTCCAAATTAATAATAATAATAAATAACGAAATCGCCCGGCGAGCTGCTCTAAACCAGGTTAGCTTTTGGCCAAGCGATTGCAACTCGCCTTCGCCTGGAAAGCTTCCAAAGGCCTGAAAATTGGGATTAACGATCCAACTGTTCTGGTTAAGAAAGAAGCCAGAAGAAACAAATTTTTTTATTATTATTTTCTTTTTTTTTTTTTTTTTTCGGAATATAGCCCTGACGGGGAGGGCTCCCCGCACGGCCGGCATCG